AAGACACAAGAAAATTCAAGTTCAAATCAGCACACAACACAAGATGAGGAGAGAGAGAAGAATACTTACAGATAAAATTATCAAGAACATCGAGAAAAAAAACAACAGGAACAGATTGTGAACGATACGAATCTGTCTATTTTTAACCTCAGAGAAAAGTGTCGTGTCCCTATGTAGCCTGGTAAGCGTACACATCGATTCGCAATGAATTTGCAAAATGGGTTTGTCAATTCGCGGATCCATTTTCAACCGGATCAGTTCGTAATACGAATTCGCTAATTCGTACTTACGAATCAATCTAGTTCGAAAAACAGTGAACACGAATTCGTAAACTAATTTTACGAATTATTTGCGAATTGATCAGCATCGTGTTTGATCTATTCTCTGTTTACGAATTCGTAAAAGTTTTTAAGAGTATTCGTACGAATTCGATGCAGTTCGCATCAATTCGGTACGAATTCGCAAAATAAGGGTAAAACGCGAATTGTTGCATCATTTTTACGCTTAAAAGTTGCGATTCGTCAATTCGTCTTTAGACACTTTGTCCACACATCTCTTTACTTATGCGCCAATTCAGGCGTTTTAATGAATCAGAATTCCAAGTTTAAAGAAAATTAACTAATGAATCATTAGTTTTCGTTATTGGTCCTGCTCCCACGAGTACGAGCGTGTTTATTGAAAGCGCGTCAGAACAGCATTTTTTTAAAACGTTTTTGGGCTTATTCTACCCGCTGGAGTATGCTGAATTCAGTTTTCACCTCTGCAGCTCATATGAAGAAATAGTCTAATTTCACTAAATTTTGCTGCTATTATATATATGATACGTGAGGTGTTAGCTCGCGTAACCATTGGCGCTGAAGGACGCCAACGAGAGCGTTGCTGTGGACCATCAGGATGAATTTTGCTCTAAATAGTCAAAAGCTTTCAAATAAAAAGATACATCCGTCAAACCGTGACGAATGCTTTTTTACATTACATGTAGTTTGAAAATATACATAATGTAAGTAGATCTAATAAAACCGTGCGAGTCAGTTCTATTTTTTATATGATCCAGATCGAGCCCTATGCACGTTGTACGCGCACTTCACACAGTGCACGAAACATATGCGTGATGTAGGCGTACATCACGGGTATCTATCGTGTCAATTCGCACGTCACGCGAACGTCGCGTATCGAGAGTGACGTGCGCGTACAACATGCGTAGCGCTCTACCTGGCATACATCTTAACCACATGCATATAATCGATTATATTGGCATTGGCTGAATTTTTAGTCAAGGAAAGAGAAACGAAGAAAAAAAATATTGTCATCGGCGGCCATTTTTGATAGGTCATATCACCGACAAAAAATTAAAGTTCATTCATAGTTAAAGAAAAGTGCTTTTTCGTATTCAGCACACTTGATAACCTGGAAAATTTTCTATTTTTAGCGCGGGGTACCGGCAAAAAGTTAAGAAAAATTTTCAAAATTGTATAATTTTGTCATGGGGATTTTTCTACGTCAATTTGTTTGAGAATTTTTCTTAACTTTTTGACGGTACCCCTCGCTAAAAATAGAAAATTTTCCAGGTTATCAAGTGTGCTGAATACGAAAAAGCACTTTTCTTTAACTCTAAACAAACTTTAATTTTTTTTATCGGTGATATGATTATTAACGGGCAATTCTTTATAAATACACGGTCTAATTTGCAGAAGGATTATCATGTTTTTATATAATATTTGCTAAAAACATATTCTTTTTTCTCAGAACATATTTTTGGGTGATTTAGAGAAAACAAAATGTTTTTGAAAGTTGAGTGGACGATTGGATGTACAGTTTGAAGTTTTTAGAAATACTGATCTGAACTGTCCGTCTCACAAAAAGAGAAAAACGATACACAGGAAAAAAACAACGACGAGATGTTCATAAAAGATTAACTTAGATTGTTGGTCAGATACTGATTTAACTATTTCTTGCTCTTCCATCGACCAGATAGACGATGAATAGGATGAATTTCAGAAAACGTAAAGGGAATATAGAAAATCAAGGACAAAATAGCTGCTGAGAGACTGAGAGTGAACTTTTCGCAATCCAACACGAATTCCATCAAGTCATATTCTCATCTACCTTTATTACGGTAGTTAACTGAGAACGTACGATAGGTTCTACTGGCATGGAAGAACATTAGTTTTTTTTTATGGATATTTATCAAAGTTTTGTATTGGTTCCGTTTTCAGATCAACACATTATGGTCCTGGGACTGTAAAAAATGGAAAATATCACAGTGGTTATTCCTCAAATCGGTTTATTTATTGATGAATTTATTTTCTCTTTCATTTTGCAAAAGTCAAAGTTAATTGTCTATTCAAAATGATATTTATTTATTGCTTATGGAACGCTTAACGTTAGTGTCTACCATATTATTTCTTATTGCTGATATATTTGCTATCATTAGTATTTATAAACCATACTGGATTCTATCAGTTAAACATGGTAAAATCTTCAAAAGCTTTATCTTGAAATGCTATAAACTGATCTAATCAAGAGTTTTATTTTTCGATTATTCATCATTTGGCTGTTGTCTTCTTTCAGCTGAAACCAATTTTGGTCTTATTCAAACGTGTTTTTCAATGTCAGACAATGATTCAAGACAAATCTGTTATATTTCTTGGACAATCTGTTTAGAATGGCTTATATCCTTTATCTTAACAGTTATTGGCATCTTGTTGATAACAACTACAATTATTTTTCTGTTCATATCAAATTTTCACCAAAAATATAAAGAATATGGAAAAATAACCGGATTTTTTGCAAGTACGTATTACTAGACAAGCCAGATACTTGTGAGTACTATTTTGAATTATTTGTTCATTTTTTGTTTTTAGTGGTATTATTATGTTGCTCAGCTGTCATATATCCAATGGGATTTGATTCAGAACTCATTGGAGGTAAGTGTTCAAAATTTGTTAGACGTTTCCTTGAGTACAACAATTTCTCCAGATGATTTTGACATCATTTTTCATTTTTCGAAAGGAAGATCAGTACAATTATAACAGCTGTTATACATATAGTTTATTTAAAGAAATCTAAGATAATAAAAGATGGTAGACGCAATTAAATACAGATTATATTTAAAAATAGAATTCTATATTGATGTCAGAAAAATATGTGTTATTTTATTCTAACATTTTTATTTTTAGGTGCTCCATTTCAACTCCCCAGCGATTATCGTATAGGTTATTGTTACATATTTTTTATTTTATCAGCATGGCTAACAGTATTATCAGAATTAATTGCGGGAAAAATGTGTTTTCCTAGATTTACCTAATTGAACATAGTAATAGTATTTCTTCATCTACTATTTTCGTTATTTTCTGTTTTTCTTGCAGTATTTTTTAGATTTGTATTGTTATTTATTTACATGCATGTGCGTGAATAAAAGATGAAATATCGTTGTATTAGTGTCATTTTCTTTTATCTTTAAACTTGAACTTGTTGACATACTGTTTTTAAATATATTATTATTTTTTTACGAATATCAGCTCTCAAATTTATTTATCTTGTTATTATTCCATGCATCGACTCTATTATTCAGAGGTGCAAAATCTACCCGTAAGACTGGAAAATTTCCCTCGAAAAAGTTTTTCAAAAAGTTCTTTAACATAATCCAAAAACAGAATTATTTTCTGCAAAAATATTTGCAAAAAGAAATTCCAATTTTTCAAAAAATTTCCCCGAATCAATTAAATTTTTCCCCGACGAGCAAACAGACAGATTCTGCAGCTCTGATATATAATAATAGTATTACTATACTCTTAAATTTTCAAAGATGGATTTTTTTAAGTTTAGAGTCGTATTGGAACTATGTGAACTGGATAGAAATCTAGTAATTCTCTCAATACAATCTGGAAAACAGTACCACATTCAACTAGTTAACCTTTAATTCTATCATTTATATGATCGCTATATCATACGGGAAAAAAATATAAATTTTTAATGGTGTAGAATGTATTAAGACTGTGTGCTTGAAAATTCAAAAAGGCGGCTAATGGTCGTTAGAAAGCTTTAGATTATTCATGTGTTGCAACAAGAATATTATAGGATTTTATGAATTAATTTATAAAGTGTCATTGTTTAATATTGCCATATCTATCGTTCATTCGTTATAACAATATAAAACTTCACATCACAACAATCAATTTCTAAGCCACATAGGCGTCTAACAGCACTGAAAGCGTACGAAATTTAATACAGATTATCGTGGGAAACTCAGCCGTCGCCGATCAGCTGACTGGCTTATTATATGCCTAATCATCAGAGTCCTGCGGTAACAAAAAAAAATTTTTTAATTCGCGATAGTAGATGGTAAATGGTAACAATAACAAACGCCTATCAAATTTTAGTTCATAATCATATAATCTCTTTTATTAAAAAAGTTAAACAAAATCGGCAGAATAATAAAATATTCTTTTCTTCTAAATCTTATTCGGCTTCAGGTTCAATATTGCTTGCATCTGAACTGTCGTAATAGTAATGTAAATAGTAACATGGTAACAAGACTCTACTAATCATACAGTTTTTTTCAAATAGATAGTTTTTATTTCTCAAGGGAATAATTTGATTCGATAAAATTTCAAACAATGTTCAATACATTCATTATCGAAGACATTGTTACCAAAGGTCATTTTTCTATTAACAGTAGATGTATATGTTTGTCAAACAAGTATAGAAATACAATCTCAAAAACATATTAGATGGGTATAATATAAATATATCAGATTCTATAAGCAACTAAACAGGCATTATATTCGAATTTTAATCTCAAAAAACGACTTGAAGAGAACAGTTCCATTAACTTCAATAAAATATATCACAATGACTACGTGAGAGAACAGCAAATTTTTACAAAATCCGTCAATCTGATAAGTTTTCTTTTTATCAAAAATCATACAGAGTTACGTTTTCGTTTGATTCTAACATGAATGAAACCAATATACTGTCGTTCTTCTAATATTTAATAAAAACTTTCATATAAGAAATAAAAAGAGAGTAAACGACTCTCATAATATGTCGATTACTTTATATTTGCAATTAACTTGAATAATTTTTATACTTTCGTTAAAAATGTATGGTCGTCTCTTTCTTTATTTGTTGTTAGTTATGTGTGTCAATAAGGATCTTTGATAAAAATATTTGTCAATCATATTATTAGTAGAAATGCTAATTATATCAGTGTGTAGTGATCATTCTTATTATGGATCAACTTTGGTGTACTATATTTCGCTTGTCCAAAAGTTTTTGTTGCTTTCAATGTTCGATGTGAATAAAGAAACTAAATATATTCTTATTGTGATTTCTCACACTTTATTTTATTTCTGAACTGTCCATTGACTTTTTTTTTTTTGAACAGCTGCACTAAAACACATTTAAATCTGTTTTTAGGTAAAATATATGTCAATAAACTCATCTAAAAACTGATCAAGATTTTATTTCTATTTTTTGTTAGTTTCACATTCGTCCTAATAAGCTATAAATAACTCCTCACCAGGATTAAACTATGCTATTTATTCGAGAAATACTACTGTTTAGTAGTTGAACTACTTCTTAGAAACTTAACGATTTACTTGACTCTGTGTAGGAAGAAGAGAGAGACTTTGTGAAAATTTTAATCAAAAGTGAGATATTTTCTATCACAACAAACACGTTGTAACGAGTTATATATTTTAAAAGAACACCCTTATTTTCAGAAGTAAAATAAATTAAATTTTACACGACATTGGATACAACAACAACACTAAGGCTTCAAAATTCGTTTAATACATACAATGAGTGTAAAACGTATTCGGACACACTGCAAAAAATTGTTTCACAGACTCAGTATTGCTTGAAATGAAAGAGATGAGAAAATTATTTTTTGTTTATCGCTGGAGAGAGCAAAGTTTGCTCTACATTTCTAACTGGTCACCGCTTTTTGTCCGTTGTTTCACTATAAACCATGGCCATAAAAGTGACATTGAACATTATGTATTTGAAATTGAAATTCACATCGATCGTCAACTATTAGTTTGAAACAGTCCCAGAATAGCGAAAATGGTGTAATTAATTGTCTATTAAATATCCATTAATAACCCATTCAATTTTGATTAAGTAAACAGTTTATGATGTCCATTTTGAGAACATTATTATACCATTATGGATCGTTGACGACCTATTTTTGAAACGTTTTTTGAAGACAGTCTCTTTCTAATTCATACCCTGAAAAAGAATGAATTTGAAACCTTTTAATAATTTTGATTCTTGAGACCATGGTACTATCACTAGTATCAGCCCTAGAACTTAATACTATCTCATCGCGACAAATTTCGATGACTTACACAACTGAAGGTAAAAAAAGTTGACTATTCTAAACTCGCATGTAAGCAGATAGGTGATGGCCAATGTGAATTCCCATTTCAAGTACATAAAGTAAAATATTTCTTTATGGCCATGGTTCATGATGAACTATCAGACAAAAGGCGGTGTTTATTACTGGACAGCTTATTCACAGTTATTAGTCCGTTGGTCAATTTTCAGTTATACAGTTAACAGTCTATGCATAGGTTATTAAATGTCAATTTATCGTTGATCTGGCTGCGTTTAGCAGTGTGTCTCTGTTTCAAGAAATCCTTTAAGTACATTCAATATCCTCTTTCAACTTAACTGCGGTTCAAAATCTCCAGAGTTTTTTGTTATCTCTTCTCAGTACATTACTATTTGAATATATTTTCGGAGAATTTTGAACCCACGATTATTTACGTTAATTCTTCCAATTATTATCTGACTTGTTTTATAATTTTCGTAATAATTCATGTCTGCTTTTTCTCACTAACAGGTTTTACGATGATACACTGTTTAGTAGTTTATTTGATTATGGATGCGTAAGTCTTCTGTTGTTTTTTTTTATTTTTGTTTAATTTAACTAAGACGTTTAAAATCATGTCTACAACAGACAGGTGTTAAAAAATAGTTCGAGGACGATATTGTTTTTAGTTAATCAAAACTAAGTTTACATCTAAAGAAACTTAATACAAACAATAAGAAACTAAATTGAGTGTCTCGAACATATATATAAAGATCTAATCAAGATTGATAATAGATGGATTGGTTTATACTTCTAATACATACACACTACTCTATTGCTACTATGTCAATGTTGTCAAAACCCATTTAAAATAATCATATACTCCTTTCACTTTTCTGTTCTCGTTTTCTTTTTCACATTGGTATGTACAATTTAGACTTTTAATGACAATCGTCGCCGATATAGACACATATGTGTTTAAATTGAAGGCGGGATTTATTCATGAATAAGAAATGATCGTAACTAGAGAGAAGAAAAATTATCATGTGCATAGCCCAAAAAAAAAAAAAACGTTCAAAAAGTGGGACACTTTTTGCATTAATCGTGGTATGTTTTCTCCTTTACCCGCATCCCTTCAGAGAAAGTTATTTGAGAAATCTATCCATACGACAAACTGAAATTTGATTTGAAAGCTCATACTTCACAAAAGTTTATTTCTTATAGTAGTAAAATTTCTGGTTTGTTTGAAAGGTGAATAGATTACCATTAATTGAAAAATACTTTCTACCAACACAACAACCGAAATGCACGAAAAAAAAACAGCTAAAAGATAACAAGTTTTACAAAACTAGTTAGGTGTGTATCTGCTCTCAATCAGAAAATATCTATGATAAATAGTGAAATTGAAGTGTGTCTTAGTGACGATCTAGTACAACACTTTGATGTATAGAAATAAGACAAAAAGTGCTGAATTTAAATTAAAAAGTAACAAAAAAATACATACTATGTAACAGTAATTATAGTAAAAATAGAACTTAACTGTTCAACTTTGACATAAAATCTTGATTCAAATATTTTTGACTTAAGTTCAACTTCTGTTTGTCCTTCTGAACATTTTTGTAGAACACTCGTAATCTGAGTTCAAAATCACGAAAAGAAAATCTCTCTCTTTCAAAAACTCATGTATACGTATTGATTTGAATATATAGACTATGAGAATTATAGACGTTTTTCTCAAGAGAAGAATCAAAGACAAAGGACTCTCATCCTTAAAGAAATGGCACTACTAGAAATAAGCCAATTAATCAAATAATAGTTTTTTAAACTTTGATCCTTTAAGCGAAGTTATTCAGTTCTCCGTCTTATGTGATCATCTACTATCTCGGTTTGTTTGTTTTATCAAACGCATTATATAGATAAAGAAGAAAAAGAAAAAATAAGTTTTTAGTTTATATACCAATTAAACAAAGACAAACGATATCTTTTGTTTTGATAAAAAATTTAGATAAACACTAAATTTACTAGAACAAAGTAATAGTGTTATTTTTATAATCTCGATTTGTGAAAGATAGCTTTTTTTTCTACTCTAGTCTTAATCCGTAGCTAAACTAGTTGTCTTCTTTAGACGTGTGTTACTTATAATGTCTGCTAAGAAAAATATCTTCTCATTTAATTACGAAATCATATTTCTATGTATTAATACCAGATGTATGTGTGTGTGTGTGTGTGTATAAGCGTGGATATGCCATAAGGAATGAACATGTCACAAAAAGAAAAACGAAAATTTCTTCTCTTTTTCGAAAATGTTTTTCTTTCTTCAACTTTTTTATGGTTTGACAACTCATTTTCTCTAGTACATTTAAATGAGTTTCTTTTCGTTTGTGCATGTTTGGAAACATCATCATCTCCCTTTTTATGCGAAATACAAAAAAAAGAGAGAAAAAGTTGTGTATAGCACGGTATACAGGTTGATTGTTAGATCGTCATATGATGTTTCTTCTTCTTCTTTGATAAAACAAAAATATTTGTAAAATTAAGCTTTTGTAAACATTTCGATCAGAGAGACGAGAAAATCTATGACGACGTTATTATTATTATTTTGCTCATTTTTTCTTCTTCTCTGCAAGTGTTTTGTTGTGTATTTGTTTAAAAAAAAAAAAATTCTATTGAATTTTGATGATACTTCAATGCACAGGTAGTTTGATGAATAAGTTTCATCATTTTAATGGACAAAACATTTCTTTTTTTTCGTTATACAATTGGAAGAATGTCACGTAAACGTAATACAAAGGAAAAAGTTCAATCAGTTAGAAAGAAGTCAAATTTCTTCTGGTATTTTATTTTTTGTTTGATATTTGTCGCAATATCAGGTTTATGTAAACCAGGCACGTAAAGAAATTTTTTTTTTTTTATTCTTTTTCCATTAACACTGTCTTTGGAAGAAGAATCATGATATTTCATTCTTGCCAAATGGACATACAAATCAATTTATTGAAAAGGATAAGATTTTGGAGAAGAAAAAAAATATTCTTATCAGCATGAATAAGTTAAATTTTAATCTAAAAGATTATTCGATTAACAGATAGAAAATAGTAGAAACTATTCGACAACACGTTAAACTTCAACTATACACTGGTATGAGTAAAGCTGAATAAAAAAAAAAATTTAGTTTTCTTAAATAGTTTTGATCTCTATCTCAACAAAGTAACAAATTAATAACTATTTAAACCTTTAATTATAATCAAATTTTTTTTATGAATATTGAATTAATCGATTACTATATTTGATAATCATTATAATTACACAGATATATTTTTAAATTGATGATGACGATATTCTAACGAAATTCGTTTTTTTTCTTATTTTATAGATGAAACACATGTGCATTTAAGCATCGCGTTATATTACCCATTTGATTTAATACTTCGTCATATATACAGAACTTGTAATAGAAAACGAGTTTCTTTTTCTCGTTTTTTGTTTCATTCTCATCATATATTATTTTTGTCTAACTTTTGTTCTATATATACTACATTGATGATAATGATGATCTTTTATAGATTTTTCTTTTTCTTAAAGAAAAATATTTAGATTTTTATATTTAATATACACGTATAGTGTAATTGTACAAATATTATTAATTTAATAACAATGATGATGATGTCTTCGAATTCTTCGTCTACTCAACATCCTTTGGGTTTGTCGATTGAGGAATTATTTGCACTTGATCGTCAATATCGTCGTATTGAACAACAACAACATTTACAACAACTTCAACAACAAGCTCAAGTAAGGCAAAATACATTAATTTCAAATTTAAGTCGTCATACAGCGCGATCATCAGATGCCATACTCTCAAACGATCGCCCTAGTTCGACGACAGCACGATTATCTGGTACAAAAACAAATATTCAACAACAGCGACCTCCTCCTCTACGCTATGAACAACTACCATCACTGGAAATACATGGACAAGGATTTAGAGGTGGACATCATGAAATGACAACCACAAAATCGTCGCATGAGAATTATACAACCGCTAAACCGTTTTGGAAAGATCGACCCGATTATCATACAAAGCCTCCATCTCTTCAAGTCAATTCATCGTATCGTACTCAACAATCACGTGAAGAACCACAACATTATCAACGTTCTCATTCTATCGATCAACTAGTCGATTATCGTCATCGAGATAATATATTACCATCACAGTACACTACAAATGTCGATCCATCTCGAACACTATACGGTACAAGGACAATTGGTAGTGCACAACATCAGAATCTAATAACAACCAGTGCTATTGATGCAACGCCACGAATCCTATCGGCACGAACTTCTCGTATGCCATCGACTGCTGTGTCTTCAACTAATTTTGGACAATCAAATACTACAAATTCGGATCCACGAAATATTTATTCAAATCGTTCTCAATGGGCGAATATGAGTTCTAATGGGAGATTATCCTCAACACCTTTGGCAAATACAATGATTATCAAAGAAGTAAGTCAGTTTATAATATAAATTACATACAATATAATATTTTTGGATGTCTATTTTTTCAAGAGTTGAATAGATGTCGATTACTTTCAAGAAAGAGAATTTCCTCTAAAGAGCAATTTACACAAGTGTTTTCTCTTCAATTTTTTTTAATTGAAAAAGTTTTTTTCTTGAAATTTTGTCAAACAAATATCAATTGATATCAGCTTGAGTCAACAAGTAAAGTCAAAAGAATCTACCACTAGCAATTTTGATTCTTCAGTACTCTAAATACGTTTTCGTCCAAAAAAGTTTTATGTATTATCCAAAAAAATCTTTTGATTACTCTAATTTCAATTTACACTTACAAGAATCTAATTGAAATTTTAAGTTCAACTAGTGGAGAATAAAATTTTCATCTGCACTATAGTGGGATTTTAAATTCTACTAGACAATAATGACTAACATCCATATATCAATCTTCACTATAGCGGATATAAAAATTTTGACTCATATGATGCTGATCAGAAATCGGAGAAGGTACAAAGTTTGCCCCGAGATGTTTTTAGCTATGAAAAAATTATATTGATAATTGACTATGTCTTTCAGTTGTTTATTCACTTTGGTCCTTTTAGTCTTTTACTCCCATTAGTCACTTTAAGGTACAAGTCGTAATCAATAACCATTTGACTATATATATGCCAGAGTACAAATGTACGCATTTTTTTCGACACAGACATATGCGGAAAGTTATGTATGTGCTCGTGAATGGGGAGGGAGAGAGCTGGGTGAGAGTGAGTCCGAAATGTATTTCTATTCTAAAAGGTCATTAATTTCGTAGAAAAGTAAAGGGAGTAAAAGACTTAAGGGACTAAAAACATGACAGATATAAAAGTAAACGTACGAAAATATAATAAGAATAATAAGCTAAAATGAGAGCATGTAGCCTTGTATCTAAGCTGGAAAGTTGTCGGAACAGATATTTGACTATCTCACAGCCATCATGCTGACAGTAAAAAGAAGGCCCTTTTCTATTGAGAAAATTATTACTTAGCAAAATAATTACATAAATATTTTTTTTAACAACATTAGACATTTGAACACATACATTTTTTTCTTGGCATGACATTTTGTACAACATTTCTCGCCTTTAGCACAACTTTTTGTCACACAATTCCGTTTACAATTGCACAGTTTCACAATTGTATTTGCTCTTGTACTAGCGTATTCTTTACAAGCTTGGATGAATGTAATAACTGATAAACATTTGTGATCAATAGCACGCAGATCGTCGAAATTGTACTTGGACAAACCTAATAAATCATGGATACTAAAAGTAACGGACAGCACATCTGTCAATGTATACACTTTATATAACACTGTATCATTCGATACTAATTGAATAGGCACCACTTTGCATTGCTTTATTACATATTTATCACGAGATTTTGCCATTTAATCTGAGTATGTGTACATCGAGTTTCCTATAAAATCTTTACATTATGACTTATAACTAACCGTGTGTACTTTTCTATTACTTAAATCAATAACTATTTCTTTTCTTTCTTTTACTATTTTAATTTCCATTCTAACATATACGTGCTCAGAAATGCCAGGCATCAATCATCAAAGATTATTTATTTTGGGTTAGTCTTATCAAATCAGTTTTTCTCTTTGTATAAAGATAAAAAATTGGTACTTCTCTGAATTATATAAGAGCCCTTGTAATCTACTTCGGATTGTGTTTGGCAACATCATGTTCAATATTTGCGACATTGACTTATGTGCAAGTTATTCCGTTTTTAGAATGAGATGTGATAAAAAAAAGAACGTTGAAGTGCGGATGTTCTCTCCTCTCACTCTTCCTCTACATTTGTGTTCCGTTTCATTTCCATTTTTACTTTGACTATTTTAATCATAATAGTTGAAAGAAAAGAAGGGCTATTAGGTTGCTTCAACACATACGAAGAGAAATTTTTTGAATACAAAGAAAAAAGTTTAGTATATTTGATTTTATATTCAAAATTTTTAATAATTAACATCACAAAAAGTATTCAATTTAATATATAAATATTAATGAAGCGATGTATACATCGAAAATGCAAATTTTGTACTGTTTGTATTATAACGTTTCGATTTCAACCGGTTGAAAAGATATTTGACAAAGATTTTTCAAAAAGTATTTCAGTAACAGAAAGTGTCTTTTTGGATAGCTTCCCAAATGTCGCTAATACCTACATGGTTTTGAATACGAATCAAAACCTGTACAAGCTGCTATCCAAAAATATTTGAGCTCTCTGAACTTGCGTAGCTTTTAACTTGACTTTAATATTTACTGCTTTGGATAGTGGATAAAATTCTTTTTAAAGCATCTAATGTTACGATACTTCTGAAGTTATTTTAATAATGTTAGCAAAATTTATTCTTTCAAGAATCTCTAATCATCTATGTTTAGCCAACTGAAATAAAAAGGTCACATTGCCTTAACTGTTCTTTCTTCTTTATTTATCTATTGTCGAGGGAATAACGTACAAGATCTCTCTAAAAATTCAAATTAAAGATATTTAGATAACTTATAAAATGTTTGTCTATCTTTTTTCTCTGTTTTAGGGTATCATACCATCGTCAACATCGAATGCAATGTCGAATCATCATCCTTACTCTCATTTTTCTACATTCATCTATGATTCACCTTCCCACATCTACGAAATGCATGGTGGTGACAATCGTTCATCATGTAAATTACGTCGTCAACCTCCCATAAAACGTGAATCATCACGAAAAATCGTTGTTCGTCCAGTTATACAAAGACGACGAGCACCATCACTAAGTAGTTCCTGCGAATCACTCGATGAAGACAGACAAGTTTCACCAACGAAAACAAAGATACAAGCTTATAACTCATTAAACGATCGAACAAATTTAGAAAATATCCGTCAATCTTCTACGAATGATGGACCAACAACAACCACTCTAGACTCAATAGTTTCAAATCGTTTCAGCAATCAAAACCAGGTATTGTGTCATATATTTCATCTCAAAATAATAGTTTCATGGCATATGTGCTCTTTAATCAAAACGGAAAAGATAGTCTCTAAACTCTTAAGTTTTTATGGATTTTAGTGTGCTTACATGACTTGGATGAACTTTTAAAGTATATCAGAGAACAATAGACTTTTAGTGACTTACACGGATTCTTATGGACGTCAATATCCATAATTAGAGCTTAAATATACTTTTTCCTCTTTTTTATATTAGACTATTGAATATGAATTAAATATTTATCTCTTTTTTTAGACCACCACTAGATCTCCCATTCAGTCTTCTCAGAATCTGAATAGTGAGGATCGTCCATTGAACGTCAACAATGTTCTAGTGAATGGTACAAATACGATTTGTGACGATGTTTCGGATACTGAAAATAATCATAAATCTCATTTGACAGACAATGATTCTGAAGACAGCGCAATCGATTTAAATTTGTACGAACAACGTCTTCATATTGGAAAATCTTATGATACAAATGACATAAGTGTACAATTAGAAGGACCAAAAATTATGGTACATTGTCATACGATCGAGCCGACGGATAAACGGGGTAATTATCGTAAACATGAATTTAAAACTGAAATATTCATACCCGAAGTAGTGGATGATGAAACAATTGTCTCGTATTTGACTGAAGATGGAATATTGATTGTCGAAGGAAAATATCAACCATGGGCATGGGAAGCAATTAAAAAACAGAGAATTTTGGAAAAACAAAGTCAGACAAAACAGTCCTCAGTGTCATTATCATCTGATTTACTCCGAAGTTCCTCTAATCCAGTATTATTAAATAATCAGAATGAAACAAATAATGTAACAAGAAGTGAAGTAGGTAAGTATATTAGAAAAGTGATAAAATAAATCAGCGTATATTACAAGAAATTTGGGAAATGTAAGGTATGCTAAAAAAATAATTCATCTAAATGTCTTTTCTTTTTTTTGTGCTGACAAAAGCGAGTAATAGGTATTTCGACTGTGATTGATTACAGCACCATTGTATACGCTCATACGTAGCAAAATGTTGACTAACAAGTCTTATTTCTTGTTTGTTGAGTGATAATGGAATATACTAACACATCTTAGCAAAATTTTTGAACTTAGATTTTTAACAAAACTTGTGTGTGTGTGTTTGTCAACTTATTGTGTTGTTTTCAGTAAGAAATCAGCTTCAAGCAGTGATGAATTGGATCAGTTCAGTGTTCTATTAATAGATAATAAGTAAATTAGGGTTTAATATAAGCTTTTTGTGCTAAACTATCTATTTGCATGACACTACATATCATTACCAATATGACTGTTTCTTTTGCGACTTTATTAGCGTGAATGAAGACATTTTTTTAAAAAGCTCTTGTCTATATGTTCGCTTTCTAGTGTTTTGAATAGGTGAAGGATTTCATTTTATATTGTATGCTCAGAAAATTAGTTGAACTAAAATGTTCATTAAAGACAAACCCACTTTGACAAAACATTGTTCGATAGAAAGCTCAAAAGGAGAACGTTGTGTTTATTTATCAGTTACTCTCTCGGAAATGGGGAACGAATTTGTATAATGCGGGATATTATTTTAGCCGGCTTTCATGTTCACATAATTCAAGAGATATTTGGATTGAATCAGAAATGGTTTTTGCTTTTATTTTATGAGTTTCCTCTATCTTGCATGATAATAAACAAATGTCTTTAACCTGTATAATCAATTGCACACACCTTCAAGCACACGGCTTCTTGAAAACGCTTTTTAAGAGTGAGTTTTGAATCTATTTTTGTTTATTTCTTAGACTTGGAGAAAAAAATGACAATAGTCAAGAACACTCGACAACCGCCAGCATCACCACCACCTCCTCCTCTCTTACCGTTACTCATATCTAAAACAAATAGCAATAAATTTCCCACACAAATTAATAATAATTATCATTATTTTTCATCTTCATCGTCTACTGAGAATAAAAAACAGGAAAAACCTTTCACTATGACGTCAAATGTCGAGCATGATCAATATATAAACAATAGTTCATTTTTGGTGAATCGTATTGAGTCGATCGGGAATAATCGAACAATTATTCACGTCGGACTACCTGCGCTGAACACACCACTTACAACTAATACGTCAACATCAACAGATGATAACGATCATACACAAAGTGTTAAACGTGTTAGTGATATAATTAATCGCTTTAATAACATTGCTACTCAAAGTTCATCTCAACAATCTTCTACGCTACAACAACAATACACAAATCGAAACATAAATAATAATAACAATCAACATGAGATAAATGATCAAGATAATTTTAATAATGGAGAACATCAACAACAAGATGAAACGTTAACAGATGGATACCATTGCTTCACTTATGATAAAGATAGAACACTACAACTAATTTACTACTTCAAACTACCATTTGAAACACCTCTCGATCATATTCGCGTACAAACGGAACATAATTCATTAAAAATTTTAATCGAACAACAAGAAAGAGATGACGGAAAAATCATTGTTCGTTCAACATCGCGTCTATGTCGACTACCCAAAGGTTATCTTTACGACTATGAACAACTGAGAGTGCTCTTTCTACAAGAAAACTTTATTAAAATTGAATTGCCATTACAACGATCATTGACATCAGAATCAACGACTAGGATAGATCAACATCTGATAGCTCAGATGAGCAAGGATACAACAGTAAGTTAAAATCTCTGATGCTAATGAAAGTCGAGGTATACGCATATGATGTATCCACAGAGAGAGCGTTCGTTTTGTATTTGAAAAATTTTCTTATTTTTCTCAGTAAAAACAAAAATGTTTTATCACATACTTCACCCTCACTTTTTTTTCTCCATCCTTTCTCTGTACTTCGCTAGTCATTTTCCTCATAACATTTTCTAGAAGATACTATCCGAACATCGGACTGATATATCGAGTCGGATATGAACAGTTTGTTCATGGTCTTTTTCACTGCTGTATACTTGTAAATATTTTATCGAAATGTGAGACATTTCAATAGAACTTTGCGCGGTGCCTCAGTCCATAATACTGTATTGCTCTTTTTCGGTATTAAATTAGAATTCTATATTCCTTTCGGTCGACCTTTTTATTTTTATTGCTTCACTCATTTCTATATACATATTTGTTTGTTTTTCTAATACCGGTGATAATAAAATAATAATCATTTTCTATCTCTGTTCTTGTGAAAATAATCCATGACCTTTTTTTCCTTTTCATCTCTGTTTGGAATAAATATGTGTGTACATATGTGTATTTTTCCCTAAGAATTAATGAAATGTAGGAAATGTGTACAGAAAACATTCGATCTCGATATACCTACAAATCAATGTAGAAAATTTATTTCGAAGGTAGATTTTCAAAAGAACTTTTGGAATTCATTGTTCTCTTAAAACCAGAAGTCAAGCGGAAATTTCATTCAAACTGTTGGTAAAGTCTAATAAACTGTAATATTAACAAAATACTCACATGTAGTTGGTTACTTCAATTAGGAAAAGTCTGGATCACCAATCAAACACTCATGTGAAAATTTCTTTTCAAACAGTTGTACACAACAAACAGACTACTTTACGAGTGAACTAGTTCAACAATAAAAATATGAATGCCTTATCTGTTTTTGATGCTCTGTATCATAAAAGAAAAAAATATCAGTAAAAAAACACGTATAAAGCAGTTGATATTGATGTGCATAGAACATGATAAATCAACACAAAATCTTTTACTTAAATACATATATTTGACCAAATAAAAAGTGAAATAACAATGGGTACATAAGATATCTATTGCTAGAGATATATGAAAGGAGAAAGGAAAACCACTCAAAATAAAAGTTCCACTACGGCAGTGCATAAGTCTGTACAAAAAAAAAAGAAAGAAAGAAAAAGTGCAAATATTCAATGAGCAGGTGATTTCAATGGACTAAATAAGCGTTTTCGTTTTACAATAGTTGATTTATCAGCTAGTTTCGTTGTTGAATCTTCATTCAAACTTGTTTGTGAACAATTTCGTTTGAGACAACTTCGTCTTAATGGTGATGTTCGTACGGGTGATTGAAATAAACGTTTTGAAACAAGACGTAATTTTTCGGGTGATGATTGAGCATGAGTTTGTTGAACAATAACTGGGATTTTATTGGATTGAGAAATGGACATGATCGAAGGCGAGTCAATCAAAAGACGACATCTACTAACTAGATAAACAAAAAAAACAGAAAATAAATCAAAATATTTATTTTTCAACAAAGTTATTAAATGCACATACTTTCTTGTTCTGTCGATACTTTCTTGTCCAATACGTCTGTCTGTTGTGATAGTGTTTCTCTAACATATCTTCTTAAAACATATTTACATCTCGTTGTATGTAAAGCTACTCGAGATAAACCCCCAGTTAAAGATGAACGTTGTTGTTGTTGACTACTATCAAATGAAACAGCTTGTGAATCATTGTTTAGAGTAACACCAGTACTGGTATTTTGCACTAAAACACATAAACAATGAATAATCAATGGCGTGTAAACTGTAAAATCTGATCTCATTTGATAGTGATATTGAAAAAACAGTTTTTGATAAGAAAAAAGGCGTAAGAAAAACTACAAAAACTTTCAACTTCATCGAATTTTGTATAAATGGAATCAAATAAATCTCACATGTCTTTGAGATAAAGTATACTTACAATTTGTTTTGGATGTTAACCGTTTTATTAAATGTTGTATCCGTTTTGGTGTTATTGTTTTTGTCGTGGAAACTGAATCAACTTCCTTATCATCTAAATCTTTCGATGGGGTTTCACAGATAACATATTTTGTCGTCGATGTTTGTGTCTCATTATCTTCATCGATTTGAGTTGTCGGAGTTAATAGTGGTTGTTGTTTCGGAAAACGTGTTGATGAGCAACGAGATTTTTTCTTTGGAGTATTTACTAAAGTATTGTGACACCAATTCACTTGTTTTTTCGTTGGTTTATTTTCATCATTGGCACTAACACAAAATAATATAAATGTTTTTTTTTGTCCACTCACACTATCTACTATAGCCATGAGTATATTTACCTTTGTGTCTCATTCTGATTTAATTTGAAACTAACAGTTCTGTTCAGTAATGTCGTTGTCAATGGTTGTTGTTTTTTCGTTGTCCGATTATTTAAATTAACCATTACTTTTTGTTTTTTCGATATGTAATTATAAGATGATGATGTGGATAAATTTCGTTGACTAAAATGTTGACTTTGACTCGTACGACTAATACTATCAAGTTGAGAATCGGATGTTGTATTTTCTTGAGTTGCACTTGTTGTAGATAAAAATGATATTTCACGACGAAATTTGGTTGTCATCGTTTTAGTCATAGAAGAAGATTCTGAATCGATGTCATCGTTATTTGATGAAGTTGTAGAGGATATTGAAGAATTATTGATATTATTAAATACGTTTACACCGTTATAACCAACTTCATCAGATAATTCAGAGATGATCAATGGAACTTTAGTATTAAAACTAAAAAAAAAACATTATTAAACAAATACTAGCCATATCTTCAATTGACAAAACTAATGTATGTTACTACTATGATGAAAAAAATAAAACAATATCTCAAATTCTTCAATATTATAGCATCTTACTACGGTATTAATTTTCGTTTCATATAATCATCAATTGATAATAAACTTTTTTCTTCGCCCCAACGAAGTAAATTTGAAACCTTTAATAAGCAAAAAAATAGTAGTACATTCGTTCGTATTGCAATGCTACTTTGACACAATGCTGTTCTTTAAACTTACCTCTTTAATCCAATCACTCGTTGATAAACGTTTTGTTTTTGATATCAATGTTAGATGTAAATATATTTGAATTTCTAATCTAAAATTAGAGCATGAAATAAAAGATTTGTCAGTTAAAAGAGTAGTAAGTATATATAAAAAGTAAAATAAATTCTTATATCTGTATAAAGTAAAATAAAATAATTCTTATATCTGTTCAAAAATATACGTACTCATTCAATATTTTTGATTGATCGTAATATCTTTCTGCCTGTATCATTGCAATCGTTTTCTGTAAATAGGTTTTATAAAAACATAATGCATCAAACTAGAAAACAAGAAGAGTAGAGTCATATAGACAGAACACGAAAGTCATCTAGTCTATACTTTTTTCTGTTTTGTTGTTTTTTTTTTCGAATAATATTGTAGTGCAAGAATAATTTTCGATGCAATTATTTGAGGTTGTCGCTCATAGGGTAATGACGTGGATTTTTTTATTTTACTAACATATGTCAGTAAATCGGTTTCAGTTAAAATTTGATCCAACGTTAATAGAGGAGACTTGACAGTTGTGGAAGATGAACTAAAAATAAACAAATAAAATGAATAAGAGGCATTCTCAATTGAGAGTAATTTTTTACTTTAATTCTTGAGTATTTTTTGATTGTGATTCTTCTTCTAATGGAACTTCCTGTGAGTCCATAGAAGACATTTTTATCAACTAGAACATTAAAATAATAATAAAAAACTATTAAGTGATGTCAAGCTACAGACATTAGCATGTAAGACTGTAATCAATGTAAAAATATACTATTCATCACCGTCTCAAAAACAAACATGGAGACCACACTAGGCGATGTGCATAAAATGAGAAATGTAAGCAGTTCTGAATAGATAGATGCACGAGGTCGAAATTGTGAAATAGAAGGATAATAGCGAAATAAATACTTAGATACTGTTTTACGCTAAGTTCTGTTCTACGGCTGACTAACAGTTTAGCTCTTCGACTCAGCTTGTATAGTTAATCTACAAATAAGGAGTAATAAAAGGTAACTATTATTATCACCCAGGGTCGTCCCGAACGGGGAAGTGGTGACCTCCTCCAGTTTTCAGAAATATTTGAAAATTTAATTTTTTGTAAGCATTAAAAAGTTAAGATAAGCTACAATGTAGTACTGTAAAACCTTTGCTTTTTGCATAAGGTTATGTCATGTTATATCCGACTCCCCGACTAAAATTGAAGACATCAATTAATATGTACCACCAACACGAGTGTCCGCTATCGTACGAACGTTCTAAAGACGACTTACTTATTTCTACAACCACCTGCTGCAACACGAAAAAGCTAACCTCCTATAAAGGAATGTTGGAAAATCTTCAGAATCTTGAAATTGAGGTCGACAAGAAAAAACTCTGAAAATTCCCAACATCCTAGTCTATGCTCGTCAGACATCGAATTTATTGACTCTCTTCAAACAAAGAACTTTTGTTTCTATTTTAAGTGCATGACTCGTACACTATGCTTTTCTTTCCTCCAAAGCACTTCGTGATGATTCATGGCTTCGAGAATACCAAAGATAGAAACTAAACAAACAATATTCTCTTGACTTTAAATTAGGAAAAGAAAACTGTTGTATTTTGTTAGACATGGAATGCAGATAGTTCCACGTTTTACAAAATGGACAATAAAACGATTTCCTATGTTACTATTGACCAATTTACTCAGCGAATTGAAAAAATGTGCCATATTTTCGAAAATAATACTGAACATAGTGACGGATCCAGAATTATTCTTTGGTACGTGCGGTATACGATAAAAGTGCGAGATACGTGCGGTCATCATAGAAACAAATTATTATAAGAGAGTTCTGCTGGGAAAAAACAGTCGGGCTGGATCCGCCAGTGACTGAACGAGTAAGCTTTCATAAAAGCTTCTTTTATTCAACGCCAGTGTCGATGTGATTTACCTTGACATTGGTGCTTTATGCAAGAACTTTGAATGCAAGCTTTACCTTGACATACTGAACACCTTCATTACTACTTATATGTGTTAAACAAAACTAAACGGCGCTTTACGCCATCGCAGGTCTAGTATACTGCCAATGGTATATTAAAGCCACGTTCACACCTATAGCTCATCGTATACTGATTTGAATTTATGATTAATAGTAGCTATAATAAGAATGAGTCGCTAGCTTCTACATGAGGAACATTGGTGGCAGCTATTCATTATTATTGTAGATTTTCTTGATGTATTGACATTGTTTTACGCTCATCTGATTGGTGTTATATTTTCTGAAAATCTTAGTAGACCAATCAGATTAGTAAGAAATAAACCCATTATGAGTTGAGATGTATGCAGTATACTCATTGGCATGACCCAACGAAAATAACCTATTAACAGGTAAGTATAAACATGAAAGGACTGGACATTTAACATTTGCTATTTGTCGACAAGTTATTTTATGGTTATGATGCACCGCACCTTTCATAGTAGAAAACGCGCATTTTTGTTAAGATCGCTAATGATGGCATTCTTCCCGAAACTGCTATGGACAGGAGCCCAAGTGACAATAAGGTTTTGAATACACAAATCGCATTTCTTTTTACGATTGCAGTACACTGTTAGAAATCTGTGTTCTTCCGTTCTTTGGAGAACATGGTGAAGAACACGAATGTGTTCTTTGAAAACTGAAGAACAGAATATATGTTCTTCAGCCTATTTTCGCGTTTTTGTTCTTCAG